TGCTTGCCATGCAAGCCTGAGAGTGTGAGATCAGATCCCAATTACCAACATAGAAGCTATAGACCAAATATTGGGCAGGCAGAGACAGGTGGATTCCCAAAGTTCTTTGGCCGGCCGGCCTAGCCAAAATAAGCTCTAGGCTCAGTGAGAGACTCTAAATCTCAAAAACTAAGGTGCAAAACAACAGAGAAAGACACTCAAAGTCAACCTCTGGCTACCAAATGCATGCACAATACTCACAGGCAAACATGCGTGTGTGTGCACAAACACGAGTATACAGCATACACACACACACAAAAAAAAAAGTTAAGGGGCTGGAGAGATGGCTCAGCAGTTAAGAGCACTAATTGCTCTTGCAGAGGACCCGGGGTTCGATTCCCAGCACTCACATGGCGGCTACGAACCATCCTTAACTCCAGTTCCAGAGGAATCCAAAGCCCTCTTCTGACCTCGACGGCATTGCATGACACGGGTGCTAACAACTGTCTGTAATTATGGTTCCAGGGGATCTGACAGCCTCTTCTGGCCTCCAAGAGCATTGCACGACATGGGTGCTCTTACCTACATGCAGGCAATACACTCATACACATAAAATAAAAATAATAAATAAAATATTTTTTAAAAAAACTTAAGTACTTATCATAGTAAATTGGCTATAATTCTTGATTCAAACCACAGGTCTAATTTCAACAATAAAAGGAACTGATTAAAGCAGGTCTATCTAGTAAAACTTTCTCTTTTTTTGTTAGAAAATGTTAGAAATGTATCTAAGCTGTCCAATATGGTAGCCACTAGCTTCATAGGGCATTGAATACTTGTGACTTAGGTAACTGAGGAATTGAACTTTAAATTTTACTTTATTATAGTTTATTTCAATTAAACAGCCACATGTAGCTAATGGTGACCCTATTGTTCAGGACAGGCTTGAAGTATATTAAGTGAGTCACAGAATCTCAAGGTGGGCAGATCAGCTTCAGATTCGTATAGTCTAAACCTCATTAAGGAAATGTTCAGGAAACACCCCACTGCCATGAACATGATAACTTCAGGTGACATTGTAATAACTGGGCCACTGGAAACTTCCCCACTTAGCCTACAATGTTATCTTGTCACACATACATGGGTCCACACTGTGCTTGCTTCTACTATTATGTGAATTAGAACCTTCACTTGATGAATAGAGTCTAAGTCAAATGCCTATGACTGGACAAGAGATACTGGAAGACCAGTGTGTAAGTCATGATTCTATAGAGGAACAGGACCGATTGTACAGATATGTAATTATAAAAGGAGACTTAGTAAATTTGGCTTACATGATTATAGGCTGGCTAATCTTTTGGTAGGAAAGGTGCTGAACCTTGAACCCAGAGCCTCACATATACTGAGCATCTCTATTGCTGAACTATACCCGTAGTCCCTTGGATAGTCCCAAAATGGCTGTACACCAGAGAGCCTGAGAACCTGGTACCTGCTCAATCCAAGAAGTTGTAAAATGTCCCAGTGAGAGATGGCTTAGCAGTAAATGTATTTGCCACCAAGCCTGATGACCTGAGTTCAATCCCTGGAACTCAGGGAAAGGAGAAAACCAACTCCCAACTCCCACAAGTTGTCCTCTGACCTCCACATGTGCACTGTGGAACATGTACACATGCACACACATACATAAATAAAATAAAAAGAAGCAAGAGGAGTAGGACAACGAGGAGGAGGAAGTTGGAAGGTTCATAACAAAAGAACAGAATCCCCCCACCAAGAGCCACTGATAGGAATCCACTTTGAAAAGCTGGAGAAGCTAAGCATCTGGTGTCTATAGATGATGGCAGCAGCACAGACACACTAGCTTAGGCTTCTTCTCTTCTCATTTTTATTTTATATTGTTGGGCCAGTAAATCTTTCCCTCTCAGTTGCTGTACAGCATGTCAATCTTCTCTGGAAATGTTCTCACTGATATACCCAGAAGTACACTTTACTAATCTCCTGGGTGTCTCTCAATCCAATAAAGTTGAAAATCAAAATTAACCATCACAGCCAGTCTATGGCTTCTGCTTCATGGAGGCAATAGTGTAATATCAGAAGTTTCTCCACTCAAAAGAGGGCACAGGGTTTGGGGATATAGCTCAGTAGTAGGGCATTTGCCTAGTGTATGCAAGGCCCTGGGTTTGGTCTCCAATACTATAAACACTAAATAATTAAATTAAATTTTAAAATTTTAAAGCATTCAGATGATACTAGATGTCCCTCAAGTATAACAGATATTTACACGATCTATATTAGTGCATCTCAAACCTTAAAATCCAGACAAATCACCTGACAATCAGGTTGAAATACAGATTTTCATTCAACAATCCAAAAGAGTAAGAGAATGAGATTTTAATTTAGGATCTCTTTTTCTTTCTTCTTTCCCTCCCTCCTTCCCTCCCTCCCTCCCTTCCTTCTGTTTTCTGAGACAGGGTCTCATTACGTGGCCCTGGATAGCCTGGAACTTGCTATGTGGAGCAGGCTGACTTTGAACTTACAGAGATCCAGCTGCTTCTGCCTCCTGAGTTCTAGATTTAAACTTATGAAACTGAAGAAAAGAGGAAGAGAAATCTCAGATTGTACAGAGTACAATATAATTTATTAGGGACTGATGTAACTGTGCTCTTGCCTGGCAACAAGACCAGTGGATCCCTGCAATTTCAGTTAAAAGAAAGGAAATTTATCTTCTGGTAAAAAGCAAAAGTGACTTCAAGTTAGATTATGCCTGGCTTATCGAAGCTCATGTCAAGGACATCAGGTATGTACCTGGCATTGATGGTGCCAGGATCTTGCCATAGGGCTCCACATATCACTGTAATGATTTTACTTATTTATAGTGGACTAGGAAACCATGTAGGGGAAACAATCAAGGTCACTCAAACAATTATGGCTGTTGTGACTCAAGATGGCTATGATTGGATCAAGATGAATTTATACAAACTCTATGAAGCAGAAATCTTGTTTATGAATATTTTTCTTTGGATGTTAGCCTCATTGTAAATTTCTATTTTCTGTTGTTTGGTTTTTGTTTTTTGATCAGGGTCTCCCTGTAGCCACAGCTGGCCTAGAACTCACTATGTAGACCAGGCTAGCCTCAATCTCACAGAGATATGCCTGCCTCTGCCTCTTGAGTGCTGGGATTATTGGTGTGTACCACCACACCTAGCTTCACTGTAAATTTATTAATAAAGCAACTCACTCTAGAGATTGTGTTTTCCTGTTGAAGCAATGTTGCTCTAAGGTACCCACAACCAGTGGAAAATCCAATCTCTCATTTTGAGTAGGTAGTTAGGAATCTGGCTTTTCAACGAATGAGTTCTATAGCTGCAGATACCTCAGTTTTCTCTGGAGTACACTAACATCTGCAGTCCTTCACTTAGTTTGGAGAGTTGTTTTTTGTTTTGTTTTGTTTTGTTTGTTTACTGAGTGGCTCCAGAGGCAGCCAGAGTGATGGGCTTAAAGGTGTGCTTCTACCACACTCTGCATGGTATGACTTTTTTTAAAGGCTGGCCTTGAGCTCACTATGTAACCAAGGATGACCTTGAGCTTCTGATTCTCCAGCCTTACCTTCAAAGTGTTAGGATTACACACATGTACCACCGGGGCTGGCTTGGTAAAACATTTGATGTACAGAGAAATTTAGAAAAAAAGACTTCTTGGGGGTGGCTGGAGAGATTGCTCAGTAGTTAAGAACACTGGCTATTCTTGCAGAGGACCCGGGTTCAAGTCCCAGCACCCACATGGCAGCTAAAAACCATCCTTAACTCCAGTTCCAGGAGAATCCAAACCTGTCTTCTGACCACTGTGGCACCGCACGACACGGATGCACTCACATACATGCAGGCAATACACTCATATAAATAAAATAAAAATAATAAATAAAATATTTTTTAAAAATAATAAAATACCTTTAAAAAAGACTTCTTTTATTCCTCTCTAGAGTGCTAATACATATAAGAATGTCTTAAATCAATACTAGCATTTTATATTATAAAGGCCCATGAGAAGGCTCATGTTCACACTTGGGAATTGAACTAGACATTTTTTTTTATACACTAGCAACCAACTGTCTACCTATTCAGAGGAATACCACAATAGAGAATAAAGAGGATTATATTATTCTATTTACAGATATTCTGTAAATAGAAACACAGACTAGCTGGGTGTGGTGGTGCACACCTTTAATCCCAGCACTCAGGAGGCAGAGGCAGGTGGATCTCTGTGAGTTCAAGGCCAGCCTGGTCTACATAGTGAGTTCTAGGACAGCTGGGGCTACAGGGAGACCCTGTCTCAAAAAGACCAAAAACAAACAAACAAACAACAACAACAAAAAAAAAAAAAACCACAGATTTATGTCCCCCTTGGCTGAGGGAAGTCTCCCTTGTAAGATTCTGAACATTGAGATAGGGACACAGAGATGCAGAGAGATTTAAGGGCTTCCAGGGGAAGAAGGACTGCAGGGCAGAGAGTCCTTTGGCACGGTGACAGCATCCCAATAATGCCCTCTCTGATGAAATTAGGCAGAGTACGTTTCAGCATTTTGCATTTAAGAACCCTAACAGGCTGAAGAGATAGATCCTTTCAAAGGTTTCCCCAGACCCAGAGAAATAGAGCATGTCTAGATAGACTGTGTCTTTTAAACAGAGCATGCCCATTCCTTTAGGGAATAAGGTCTGGTCTAATCTCTGTAACAAAGGAAATTTGTGTAAGGTCATCCTTTTGCCTACCTGTAGGCAAGTATACTACGTGCATGCAATGTCCACGGAGGCCAGAAGAGGGCGTCGGATCCCCTGGAAATGGAGTTATGGATGGTTGTTAGCCGCCATGTCGCTGTTAGGAACAGAACCAGTGTCCTCTATAAGAGCCGAGAGTGTGCTCTTAACCACCCCACTTTTTCTTTTAACTCAACTCACTGGTTCCCTCCTTGCAAACCCCAGCTTCTCTGATTGGCTGTTGCTGATGACGCCATTAGGTCGCGCCCCCGGAGCAGCGGCCGTGCTGTCATGTGGCCGTGTGGCCACGGATGGCTACGGATTCTTGTGCCTTGGCGGTTGATTCGGCCCCACAGCCTTGCCAGCACTTTTGGTGGCTGTAGGGTGGCGATGGCGGAAGCACTCTCTGACGAAGCCGAGGCAGGCGCTGGGCTGAAGGCTGTGGCTCTGCAAAACGGACACGCGAAAGGGGAGTCGCTCCAGGAGCGCCTGGAGGCGGCGGCGGTAGTGGAGCCCGCCGAGGGGAGCGGGAAGCAGGTCCCGGGGAACGGGGAGGAAACCCAGGGAGGCAAAGAGCAGTCCTCAGCCCCAGCCAGAGACTCAGGCAGGAGGAAGAAGCGGTGGGGTGCCACTGGGGAGCGGGTCGTGCCGCCCCCAAAGAAACGGCGGACTGGGGTCAGCTTTAGCAATGAGCACTTTGCAGAGACCAGCTACTACTTCGAAGGCGGCCTGCGCAAGGTGCGGCCCTATTACTTTGACTTCCGGACCTACTGTAAAGGCCGCTGGGTGGGCCACAGCTTGCTGCACGTCTTCAACACGGAGTTCCGAGCCCAGCCGCTGACCTACTACGAGGCTGCAGTCCGGGCCGGACGCCTGCATCTCAACGAGGAACCAGTACAGGACCTTAGCATCGTGCTCAAGGTAGGGTCCGGTGGGGCTGGCCAGAACCGGGAGAGGAAAAGAGGAAGGGTTCTTTTCAGACTTAGTTATAAGTGCTGAAGTAAAATGATGGTAATTCACAAGCAGTCTCGTTTTCCCTTGAAACTCTTACCCTCTCTTCCCATAGCGCCAGGTAGACATCTGTTCCATGCTCCAGAATTCAACCTGTTTATCCTCCCCAGCAAGAGGCCTGTTTCCAAGAAACAGAAATGGCAACTTTAATGTCCCTTTTAGATCTTCCGTGAGACAAGGGCAGTGCTTATTTTCTGCCCTGAATGGGAGCACTCTGTACAAATAATAATAGATACATCATTTATGCATTTTTTAAAATTGTTTTTATGTATATGAGTGCTTTGCCTGCATGTAAGTGTATCATGTGTGCATGCAATGCCCGTGTAGGCCAGAAGAGGGCGTTGGATCCCCTCGAACTAGAGTTACAAATGGTTGTTAGCTACCATATGGGTGCTGGGAACTGAACCTGGGTCCTCTGCATGAGGACTCTTAACTGCTGAGCCATCTCTCCAGCCTCCCATTTATGCATTCTTACATATCAGGCACAAAGTTAAGCATTTTATATGCTCCAACATGAAATCCAAGTGGTAGTTTGGGGGCAAACATGTTGTTTACCCCATTTTATGAGAAAACTGAATAATAAACCTCAAAGTAAGGCAGCAGTGCTACTTCCAAAGTGTGTGTTCTTATTAACAAACTATTTGTATATGATATTTATAGAATTGTGAATGTCAGAGACAGAGATTAAAATTGACTGGCTAGGTGCTTTGACCTGTTCTTTAAAATTCTCTCACATCTGAGAGTTACCAGACACCCCTGTCAGCACTGGCTCACCATGGTTATGAAGAGAAAAGCAGTTTTAGCATTTGGGAATAACCTCTTCTATCCCAGTTTGGAAAGCCGCAAGTCTGCTACTTTCCTTACAAGTGAGGAAACTGAGGGCCAGAGAAGTTTAAGTGACTTGCCCAAGAGCATGTAGTGAGCCTGTGGCAGAACTATATGTAGAGCCTAGCACTCTGGATTTAGTTTGGGTGTTTGTTGAAGGTTATAATTAATAGTATATGGAGGTTTTTCCTCTATTTAAAAGACATTTGCAGGGCTGGAGAGATGGCTCAGCAGTTAAGAGCACTGATTGCTCTTGCAGAGAACCAGGGTTCGATTCCCAGCACCCACATGATGGCTATGAACCATCCTTAACTCTAGTTCCAGGGGAATCCGAAGCCCTCTTCTGACCTCTGTGGCATTGCATGACATGAGTGCACTCACATAAATGCAGGCAATACACTCATACACATAAAATAAAAAGAAATAAAATATTTTTAAAAATTGTTCAGTAATTTTTACTGATGGCTCAGTAAGTAAAGACTGATGCCCTGGGTTTGTTTCCCAGACTCACATGAAGGAGAGAACTGACTCCCACAAGTTGTCCTCTGATCTCCATATGCACACAGCAGCACACTTGCTGGCACATGCACACACCCAAATAAATTAATAAAGATGTTTTTAAAATTAAACTTTATCGTAATGATTATACAATAAGCAAAACCAGAAAACATCCACAATCACCACCAAGAGATTTCATCAAGGCTAGCTGTCTATATATTTTTACAAAATGAGGGCTGGAGAGATGGCTCAGTGGTTAAGAACACTGGCTGTTCTTGCAGAAGACCTGGGTTTGAATCCCAGCACCCACATGGCAGCTGACAACTGTCTGTAACTCCAGTCCCAGGGGATCTGACAGCCTCTTCTGACCTCCACGGGCATTGCATGACACAGCTGCACTTACCTACATGCAGGCAATAGATGCATACACATAAAATAAAAAAAATTAAAAAAAAATTTTTAGAAAATGAGATCACACTATGCACACTACTTTTTCTGCTTACGGAGTCACTGTGACCATTCTTCCATGTATATAAGGACCAGGGGAACCTGGTGTGAAGCTGACTGTTTGTAGGCTGCTGGTCCTCAAGCTGATAGGCTACATGTTTTTGACAGGACAATGATTTCTTGCGGAACACAGTGCACAGGCACGAGCCCCCAGTCACAGCAGAGCCTATTCGATTGCTAGCTGAGAATGAAGATGTGGTGGTTGTAGACAAGCCTTCCTCCATTCCTGTCCACCCCTGTGGTCGATTCAGACACAACACAGTCATCTTCATCCTGGGCAAGGAGCACCAACTGAAGGAGTTACATCCGTTGCATCGACTTGATCGCCTTACCTCAGGAGTGCTCATGTTTGCCAAGACAGCTACTTTCTCTGAAAAGATTCATGAGCAGGTTCGGGACCGGCAGGTGAGCAGGCTTGTCTCCTGCAGACCACTTCCTTGGCTTATAGGTGCTCTGTGTCCGAAAGGTGCCATGGAGTTCTAGATTTGAAGTGGGTCTTGAGCTTTATCTGCAACTTTTCTTACTTTCAGGAGGTTCAGCACCTAAAGTGCCAAAGACAGGTTATCCCATATGTTTCAAGGTCTAGTGATGGCAAGCACTGCCTCTTCATAGTTTGTGCTTCTGAAATTATACAGTGCTAATGAGCTGATGGACATTTTTAAGATGAGGAGATTTTGAGACCTTTTGGGAGGACTCTGGATAAAGTTAGAAGAGGCATGGGTAGATCACTTACTGGTAGTGATTATGGTCTTGAGACAGTTGTGGATCTGGATCATGATACATTTATTGAGTGTATGCCAGACTTAATACCCAACACATTAGAGACCAATTTACTGAATGCTTATAGCAGTTCTGTGAGGTGGTTTTTTTTGTTTTTTGGGGTTTTTTTTTTTTTTTTTTTTTGAGATAGGGATTAGCAGTATAACCCTGGCTGGCCTGGAACTCACAGAGATCCATCTACCTCTGCCTTCCATGTGCTAGGATTAAATGAGTGTACCACCACACCTGGCTGCTTTTATTTTGTTTTGTTTTGTTTTTTTATGCCCTTTTGTGAGACAGGGTCTCCCTGTAGCGCCAACCTGTCCTGGAACTCACTATGTAGACCAGGCTGGCCTTGAACTCACAGAGATCCGCCTGCCTCTGCCTCCCAAGTTCTGGTATTAAACGCATGCGCCACCATGCCCATCATATTTTCTAAATGAGTTATGGGGCTATTAAAGAGATTAAGAACAGTACCCAGGATCATGAAACTGGAAAATGTAGACACTAGGGTTTGAATCCTCTTCTCCTGACACTGGTACATTCTTACCACTGCAGAGGGTTGGAGTCTGTGGTTTGTACTGACTTTTTCCTTCTTCCTCCTATCTAGCTGGAGAAGGAATATGTATGCCGGGTTGATGGGGAGTTCCCAGACAAAGAAGTTACTTGCAAGGAACCCATCTTAGTGGTGTCTTACAAAGTAGGAGTATGCCGTGTAGATCCTCGGGGCAAGCCCTGTGAGACTGTGTTCCAGAGGCTGAGCTACAATGGCCACTCCAGTGTAGTACGATGCCTACCACTCACAGGCCGTACCCACCAAATCCGAGTCCACCTCCAGTTCCTGGGCCACCCCATTCTCAATGACCCCATCTACAATTCAGCTGCATGGGGTCCCTCTCGAGGCCAGGGTGGCCACATTCCCAAGACAGATGAGGAACTGCTCCGGGACCTGGTTGCAGAGCATCAGGCCAAACAAAGCCTGAATGTGCTAGATCTATGTGAGGATGACCTGGCCTCAGGACTGACAGAATCTACAGCTCCCCCTTTAGAGTTGGCCAAGGATAGCCTGGAAGAGTTGGCTACAGCTGCCCAGAAGATTGATGGAGTAGCTGAGGTAGCCTCTCAGGATTTGGACACACCACAGGAAGCAGCTGAAGCAGATGTTATGAATCAAGAGACAGACTCACTCTGCACAGAGTGCCGGCTGATGCGACAGGATCCCTTGCCCCAGGACCTTGTGATGTTCCTGCATGCCCTCCGCTATAAAGGGCCAGACTTTGAGTATGTCTCACCTATGCCTACCTGGGCACAGGATGATTGGCAAGAAGATTGAGGGATATGGCCAATGGAAGAATTGCTGCTTAGGTTGCAGTGAGGTTGGGCTATGGGGCAGGGACTGATCCCATTGGTTGAAACTTGGGTTTTGGGAAGGGTGAGGTGAGGCTGTTAAGGAATCTGCTCATACTTGCTACCTCCTTCCTTCTCCTGGCTAGTTTAGGTTCTTTTATGTTAGTAAATATAACTCTTTTTTTTCATATGTCTGTATGTCTCTTTTTACTAGTTCTCTTACTGCCTCGCCCCAGTGCTGGGGATTGAATCTAGGGCTACCAAATGCTCTACAGCTGAACTCCATTCCTAGCCCCCTAATTTCATTTTGTAGCTCAGGCTGTCCTTGAACACTCAGTCCTCCTGCCTCTGCCTCCCAAGTGTTTATATTATAATCATGAAGCACTGTCTTGCTGTGTGTGTGTGTGTGTGTGTGTGTGTGTGATAAAATTCATATAACAAAATTAACCACTGTAAGATATACAATTAATTGTCATTTACTATATTCACAACCTTGAGCAACCTCATGTGGTTTCAAAAGATTTTCCTCACTCCTAAAGGGAACCTGTTCCTGTTAACCAGCCATTTCCCTTTCCCCTCAACTTCTGGTAAACAATTTACTCTTCTTTTATGGATTTGTATATTGTAGATATTTCATATAAATGGGATTATCTAAGATTCATTTAACTTATGTATCAGTATTTCATTCCTTTTTGTGGCAGAAGAATATTCCAATGAATGTCTATACCTAATTCTATATGTCCATCATCAGCTGTTGAATATTTGCATTGTTCTTAACAGTGCTGCTATCAACATCTGCTCTGCAAGGTTTTCTATTTATGTGTTTTCAGTTCAGTACTTAGGGTACTAGGTTGAATAGTAATTTGCAGTCACTGCCAGCAGTGGCTGCTCCTCCGTTCTCACAGGTGCTGCTCCTTTGTTCTCATGGGCATCAAGGCTGCTCCTCCACTTGCCCTGGGCTGAGGCCACTCTTCTGCTCGCCTGGTGCCATCTTCTGTCGTCAGTGCTTCTGCCCAGTCCCGGACCCCAGGGCTGGTAAGGAGACTGTGTCAGTGGAGCTGCATTCAGACACAGGAGACCAGGTTCAGTGACACAGGTCTGGTTTATTGCAGGAAGGCACAAGCTTATATTAGGGGTAGTGGTCCAATCACAGCACAGCAAGTAGGATACCTTATTAGCATAACAGGTTTAGTGTCCTATTAGCATTAACAGACTTAAGGTCCTATCACAGAATATCGGGTAGGATGCCTCATTAGCATACTGGGTTTCAGATTACAGAGCCTAGATTCCTGGAAACCACATGACCCTGACTGTTGCAATATCTAAGTGTTGCAATTTGGAATTCCAAGGGTAGTGATTAGGGAGTAGGAAGCTCTAGGCATCAGTCTCATGATCTGCCAATGGGAGCAAATGTCACAAGGTGTTTCTTGTGGCTCCAACAGTCGGGCCCTTTCCTGCTGTATGGCTGTCAATAAGACTTTCACCCTAGGCTCAAGCCTGTCTCCCACAGTAATTCTATTCAACTTGTTTTTGTCTTTTGACACAGGTTTCATTATGTAGTCCTGGCTGACTTTGAACTCTCTTAGACCAGGCTAGCTTCAAACTCAAGAGAGATCTATTTGTCTCTGCCTCCCAAATGTGCTACCACACCCAGGTAGTCTTCCTAGCGTGTCTCATGCCCAGAATTAAAAATTAAGTGGGGCTGCAGGCAAGATGACTCAGTGGGTAAAAGTGCTTGCTGTAGAAGCCTGACAACCTGAGTTCTATCTCCAGAATCCACAGTAGGAGAATCAACTCCAAAAGCCATCCTCTAGCCTCCACACTCATGCTGTAGCAGCACACAGGCATGCGCCCACAGTCACATATACACAATGATAAAAAAATGTTAAAAGCCTGGCGTAGTGGTACACACTTGTGGTTTCAGCTTGGAAGGAGGGTCAGAAGTCCAAAGCCATTTTTGACTAGCAAGTTTTAGGCCAGTCTGGACTACATGAGGTCCTGTCTGAAAAACTGTTGGGAAACCCTGCTGTTAGGGTTGTAGTTCTCCATGTCCGGATAGCCCTAAGGGGCTCGGCGCCAAATGGAAGGACTCCCCTTTTCAGCAGGGGGCCTCCTGCTCCCTTCCTGGCTTACCTGGAAAGTGCCACCAAGCACGGATGCCTGACCTTATTTGGAACATGACCTTTGGCATAGTTATCTGGAGTGAAAACTACCCCCAGGTTTTTTCTATATGATAATCAGGCATTGCCAGGTAGTCGGACAATAGGAGCCCACTACCACATGTAAATAAAGCATACTATGAGCACCTATCAGCTGAGGCTTTGGCTACTGCCTCCACACTATAATTTCTCTAGTTCTCCCACTGAGTAAATGGAGCTGTTTCACTGAATCTGGAGCTGTATCACTGCTGTTTCACTGCCCCATGAAACCAGCCTCCCCGGAAGGGCTTTCTTCCGTCAGTGCTCACTGACCATCCTGACTCCGTTCACTGCTTCTGCTCCCCCTGCCCTCATGGACCAGTGGCCAACGATCCGCGAAGAGAGGGAGAGACCCCCACAAAAAACAACAAAAACCTAAATGACATCCTTCCTGTCTCCTATTCTTGGATACATAAAGCAATGAGTTTTTGTTTTGTTTCAATTTAAAAAATGGGATTAGGAGCCGAGGAGATGACTTAATAGGTAAGATCACCTTGCTGCACAAGCATAAGGACCTGGGTTCAGATCCCCAGCAATGACATTTAAAAAAGAAAGCTGCCAGGGGTGACGGCACCCGTGTTTAATCCCAGCACTCAGGAGGCAGAGGCAGAGGCAGGTGGATCTCTGTGAGTTCAAGGCCAGCCTGGTCTACATAGTGAGTTCCAGGACAGCTGGGACTACAGAGACACTGTCTCAAAAAGACCAAAAAAACAAAAAACAAAAAAACAGCCAAGTATGGCCATGCTTACCTGTAACCCCAGTGCTGTGTGGGGTGGAGAGAGGAGCATCATTGGGACTTTCTGGCTACATACCTAGCTCCAGGTTCACTGAGAGACCCTGTCTCAATGGAAAAGTGATAGAACAGGACACCTAAGGTCCTCATCTGGCCTTCAGGTGCATGCAACCATACCCACATGTACATATACTACGCATAATACTAAGTACACATTCCATGGAAATTCTTATGCAATTTGCTTTTCCTAGGACATTCTTTTTTCTTTTTTTTTGAGACAGGGTCTCACTATATAACCCTGGCTATCCCAAAACACACTATAAAAACCAGACTGGGCTCAAACTCATGGGAGAGCCTTCTGCCTCTACTTTTGAGACAGGGTCTCCCGGTAGCCCCAGCTGGCCTGGAACTCGCTATGTAGGCCAAGTTGGCCTTGAACCTGGATCCTCTGCAAGAGTAGCCAGTGCTCTTAACTGCTGAGCCATCTCTCCCAGCACCCCTTCAGATTTTTTTTTTTTTTTTTTGAGATGGTCTTACTACGTAGCCCAGGCCACCTTGAACTCACAGGGATCTGCCTGCTTCTGCCTCCCGAGTGCTGGAATTAAAGGGTGTGCCACCACACCCAACCTAGGTTTTTATTTTATTGTGTCTGTCTGAGTATGAATATGTGTACAGATACCCACTCAAGCCAAAAAAAGGGTGTCAGATCCCCCAGAGCTGGAGTTCCAGACAGTTGTCAGTTGCCTGACATGGGTGATTGGAAACCAAACTCAGGACCTCTGCAAAAATAGTTTGTGCTTTTAACCACTGAGCCATCTCTCCAGCCCCAAAATATTTTGTATAGCTGCACTGTGCTCCATTGTGTGCCTATAATTTAATCCACCTCTTATTAGTGGAATTTTAGGGACTTGTAGTATTTCATTATTCTCAGACATAGTAAATAGCCTCATGTCCATCCACACTTACAAAAGTTTCTATAGTTTTTAGTGTAATTTTATGGTCAGTAGACTTTAAATACTGAGAGGTAATGATAATTACTTTCAAAAAGTATTGCATCAAGCCCAGTGGTGATGCATACTTTTAATCTCAGCACTGGGAGGCCAAATGAAATATAGACCCTGTCTCAAGATAAAAAAAATATTCTAGTTTACATTTCATTTGTAGGGCATGAGAGGCTGAGGCAACTGAAGGTATTGGCTGAAAGAGCTAATCAGTCAGCTGTATTTTCAAGGTTGGCCTTGATTCAAGCTCTGAGTTGCAAACACAGGTTTCCTGGAATGCCTAAAAGTTGCTTCAGTCAATCTTGCTCCCAACATTTTAGAAAAAAAATGGGCTCAATGCAGAGCTTGTGGCTTTGGATCACTGGTCCTCAGGACTCAGATTTTCTAAGAACACGGGGTTGTTGAAAGCCAAAGATGGACCAGGCAGGCATGTTGACACATGTCTATAATCCTCAGGAGGATCCAGAGTTGAGTTTGATGTCAAGGTTGAGGTAGGCCAACCTGGGCTGTATTGTAAAAGTTTGTCTTAAAAAGCCAAAACCAAAACAAGACAAAAACCAAAAAACAAAGATGGAAGCAGTGTTACCTAAAGAAAGCAACCAGGTTCTAGACTGGAGCCGCCACTGCAGCAGAGGTCTTACCAGCACAGCTCTCATTTTGCTCAGAATCCTGTCTTCACAAGTTGAGCATTATGTGTAGTAGATTATGTCCTTCCACTCTAAACCCTCCACTTCTTTTCATTTGAAGTTTGTCCATATGTCTTTTATTTCTTGTTTTTTGTTTTTTTTTTTTTTTTTTTTTTTTTGTTTTTGTTTGCTTTCAGTTATGAGGTAGGGTCTCCTTGTCACCCCAGCTAGCCTGGAACTCACTATATAGACTGAACTGACCTCAATCTCACAGAGATCTGCCTGCCTCTGTCTCCCAAGTGCTGGGTTTAAAGGCGTGCGTCATCATGCCCAGTAGCTTGTCTGTATTTTCAAAACCATATTTTACCAGCCATTAGCCACAGCAAATTGGCTTCTTTTTGCCATCTTTCTGTGCTGCCATAATGGAGCACTTGGATGTCCTGGCTGATGCTCTTGAGAGCATCAACAATACTGAAGAGGTGAACCACTGGTCCTTACTAGGCTCTGCTCCAAAGTTCTTGTCAAGTTCCTAACTGTGATGACAATCTGCCTGGTTATGTCGACACATTTAGTATCACTGATGATTACCGAACTGGAAACACTGTTGGCAGCCTTACCAGTAGGTTAAGCAA